ATGACAGGTGTGCGACACCATGCTTAATTTTTATTAATAAAATAGCACATGTATTACAACCTGTGAACAAATCATTTCCAGAACCCCTGTGATTCATTATGCACATCTGAGGGTGATCAAATCCTTTATTTATATAAAGTGGCACGAATTTACTCAGGAGGTTAAGGCAGGGGTTGAGGAGTCTGAGGCCAAACTGGGCTAGACCTTATTCTCAATAAATCCAACGTGCACGTTCTATATACTTTAAATCATCCCAGATGTGTAATATCTAATACAATGTAAATGCGACTTTACAGTAGCATACTGTATAGGAAGTAAGCAAGAAGCAAAGGCTAGAGACCAAAGCTGAGTACGCATGCGCTATTTTCCTGAGCATTTCCGTTCCATGGTTGGTTCAACCCAGATTGGAACCTCCGTTTGTACAGGGCCGCCTATGCATGACAGACCTCTTCATTTTGGAGAATCACAGTGTCGTCCGTCTCTTTGGCTTTCCATGGACTTTCAACATTTCTGTTGAGAAGGGCTCTACGGCACAAAAAAGGTTAAGCTCCTGGCCCTACAAGGACCCCCCAGTCCCCAGAGTGATTTACAGCCTGCAAACCAGCTGCCTGCGCTGTATACACAAGCTCGCCTGGGCTGCAGCCTCCGACCCACACCAGAAAACAGCCCGCTGCAGTCTTAAAACCCAGGCAGCTGTTTGCTTATGCGGTAAAAGGCTTCTACATCCACACCACCAATGGCAAATACTGAAACTTGGTATTTGTCAGGGAGCAAGAAGACTTCGTTAGGAACAATTGCTGGGTATATGTAAATCAACCCAAAGGTAGAAAGCAAAGTTCAGAGGGATTACACAGCAACTGGTACTTCTCGCCTTCCACCCCACCCCCACCCCGAATTTTAGGAATGTTATCTCTCAGCATCTAGTTATCCAATAAGTTGGAAGAATGCAGTGAACCCAGCAGGGGTCTTAGATTCAGTCACTGCCAAATGGATAGAAATACTCTTACTATTGTACGAAGAAAGTTAATCTACCGGAGGCCAATCAAATTCTGGAAGCACTAAAACGCTTAAAAAAATAAAACCCTGTATATCTTGATAAAAGCATTATGAGTCAAGCTTATCTTCTTTCTCATTCCTATATTAAAAGGACAATGAGCAGATTATCTAAGTACACAATATCTTCCACCCTCCCCCCACACCCAGGATAAATGCTTACAAAAAAAAAAGAAAAAAGTCCCCAAAGTACTGTATTGAACGAGTTGAAAGTGTCCTTTTGCGACGTTAATGTTGATGGGTCATTCAGCTCAACTTTGCAGATGGCAAATCAGACCTGAATTTCAATTTCTACTTCATGAAGACCTAAAAGCAAAAAGTTTCAGTCTTGGATCAAAGTTCAGGGTCTCTGTACAGAGAGAAAAGGAGAGGCTCAAGAAACTACTCAGAGCCGGCTGAGGTGCGTGGTCTCTTTTATCAAGATGCAGATGTGTGCTGCAAACCCCATGAGGGCAGGGGGTTTTGTTTCTCCTCTGGCAGAGCTGGGAGAACAAAGCCGGATCCATAGTGGGGGTGGGGGTGGCAGGGGCTGGGGATGCGGTTCTTGTTTGTTTGGATTTAGAGCCTTTTAAACAAATTTTGAGAAGTGCTCAAAAGCACAACAGGTTAAAAGGGATTAAAAAGGAAACTTAAATTCCTTTCTCCATCTTTTTTTGCAGGACAGCACAGCCCAGAGAAACCACCCAAATGCAAATACTGTTTCATTTCCAACTCACTTCCCAAGGTCCTCTTCATCTAAAGCTTGCCAAAGGCTCATCGGAAAAATTAAAAGGTAAGATAGAGAGAGGTCATCAAACTCAACCAGTTTCCTCAACGTGGTGGCTTCCGCATCTTGAAAACAAGAAAACTCTCTTTGATCACCAGTGGTAACAGAGCCCCTTGAATTCAGGGCAAGGCTGATGTCGGACAGGACCCAGAGCACCAGGGGCAAAGGGGGTACCAGAGGCTGCAGCTCGCTCTCAGAGGAGCAAGAATGGGAAGTTACAGGATGAGAATCACAGACAAGCATCTGAGACCTCCAGCCTGGGGAGGGGGGAGTCTAGCACACAGTAGGCCATCGTTTCTATAGAACTATTGCAATGAGCAGCTCAACACCATCTCCGAGGCAACAGCAAAGCCCAAGAAGCGCTGGTAAATGAACAAAACTACTCATCCCATTGCCAACAAGGAATAGGCCTTCTACATTTGAAATCAGCCACTGTGTTTAGCTACTCTAGAAGGAACCCAAAAGCTCGGAAAACCAAGCAGCCCCAAATGTTAAAACTCCTATGAATCCAGAGCAGAAAGCAGAGCCCGTTCTAAAGTCTCTTTCTCTCTCTCACGTCCCCCAAAACCCACCCGGCACCTCGCATTTAAACCGGGACAATGCTCACCGCGTCCAGCCGCCCAAAATGGTTCCCCAGCCTCCTACCTAAGAGGAAGCTCGCAGTCCGCCTAGGAAAGACAAAATACCATTCACTTCTGAATTGGGAGGGTGGCTACAGTTCTTTGGGGCAAGGAATGTATTTTGCAATGCAATTTATCTTTAATGAATGAAAACGTGGCTTCGGGCAGTCCGGCAGCCAATCTTCCTTTTCGGGAACTCAAGAGATGACCCCGAGCGTTACCGAAGGCCGTTGTAGGTCATTGTAGGCAAGAAACTGGGGCTAGCAAGTTATTTGAAACTTGGGAATTTTAATCGTTGATGGTTGTAATCTAGTTTAGCACAAAGGGTATTTGAAACCCTTTTGAGAAAATGCTAATTTTCTTTTAAGTAGTGTTGGCCCCTCCCTGACCACCTGCGGATTTTTTGATCTGCTAATTGTTGCCTGGACTTCATTTTCTTCTCCCAAAAATCACATTCTCAAATGGCGTGGTAAAATAAGACGGGTCCGGTCTTAATTTTAAAAATGATGCTTAGGATCAACACTAGGCTCGATCAAATGCAAAAATCCAATATGCAGCCCTCCGCAAATGCTCTAGCTAGGATCCAGGAATTCTTGTTCAGAATTCCAAACACTTGGGAAGAGCGGAGGTAGACCGCCGGGCAGGTACGTGGCCGAAGTTCCGGGGCGCGCATCCCGGCCAGGCAGGCCCTCCCATCGTGCCCCCAGCCCAGCCCAGCCCAGCCCAGCCCAGCCCTCCCCACTCACCAGGTGAGAGCCAGCGCCCGGACCCGCCTCCCGGCCGCCGGCTCGGTTCCAGCGGGGCCTCCAGGGGGCGCCCGTGTGCAGCCGGCTAGCAGGCCCGCACCGACCCGGGTAATCAATAGCGCACCCCTTTCCCCAAACTGCAGCGGGAGCGCACAGCCGAAATGGAGAGCCTGCCGCACGGCTTTCGATGAACGCCGACTCGTGCCCGCGTCAATCTCGGCGTCTCTCGCGTAACAAGCGCTCCATAAAGGTGCCAATAACACCCCAAGCCCTACTTGTGCGCACCCACCCAAAATGAGGGGGAAGGGGAGGTCAGAGCGGCACCAGGGGAGGGGTCAGGGCCCGGGGCTCGCCCCTCCTCTCCGGAGGAAGCGGGCGGGCCGAGGGTTTTAACCCTTTTGTTCCAGGTGGGCCAGGCCACGCAGCCGCTCCCCGATCCCCCCCACCTCCCAGCAAGGCACAAAGAGTGGCCCTCGGCCGCTGAGACTTGCGGGGTGCGCAGCCCTGCCCGTCGGACCCGAGCGCACGCGCCACTGTCCCTGTGGCTAAATGAAGTGTTTCTCGTTTTCCCTGTTAAAAAGCGTATGGCGGGCAGTGGGCTCCACTCAGCTATTATAAACTTGGGTAACTACATGCCCTCCCTGGCAAAAACGGGGAGGCAGAGGCACTAAACAGCAGCAAGAGTGCGCTCGCGAAAGTCAGCGTTGCCCTGCGCGCGGGGACCGAGCGGCCGCGCAGCCACCGAGCGCGCGGACCGCGGGGGACACGGACGGGGCCGGAGGTCGCTGCGCCCCTCCCCCAGCGCGTAGGCGCAAAATTTACCAGGCGACAATTTGGCGGGCCGGGACGGAGGGTAGAGAGTGGGAAGGCGACTGCTCCCCAAAGCTCCTCGGCGGAGTGACCCTAAGGGCCGGAAGGGACACGCGCCCGACCGCGGGCGCTCGGGGTCCCGAACTCCTCTCGCCCCGGGAGGCGCCGGCGCGGAAGCGTGGGCTCGGTCCTCCGCGGAGCTCGCCCAGGCCACGACCGCTGGCCCCGGCCCGACCTCTCCCCTTTTCACCTCGCGGGCGCGAGTTGGAGAGCAGGGCTCCCCGAGAGCAGCACGCGCGGGCGAGGCGGGCGCACTCCGGCGGGGTCGTGGGGCGCGGGACCCCGCAGGCAGCACCCCTCGGACGCCCGCGGTTATTTTTAGCAAGTCGGAAATCAAAGATGGCTGAGGTCAGGCCCCGAAAGGTTAGGGCGAAGATCGGCGGGCGGCGTAGCCCGGGGGAAAAAGGCGAAACCCGAAAAAGGAAGAAATTAAAAAAAAAAAAAAAGACAAGGCGCCCTTCCCCACGAGCTCGTCGCCCCGCAGCGCGCGGGTGGCCGGGACCCCGGGGGTGGGGAGAGGTCGCGCCCCTCCCCCACTCGGCCTGGGAGGGGCGCGCGCAACAGATCGCCCCCTCCGGGGTCCTCCCGGGTGCGCCCTCCTCCCGTCCCGAGAGCCCCCCACGGGCGGCGCAGAGGGTGGGGAGCCCTGGGGTCTCTTTTCTTTTAAAAGCGGCGCCAGGGAGGGAGGGAGGGGAGTGGAACCAATTAAGAAAGGGGCCGAGGACCCGGCGCGGGGAAGCTTTCGGGAGTGAGAGGGACGGAGGAGAGTAGGGTCAACTTTACAGCGAGAGGCGAGAGGGAAAAGTGTAAAATCTGCAAGGACGGAGGCTGCCCCTTTCCCCTGGAGCGGAGTCCACAGAGCGCGGCCTCAGATCCGCCCGCGCCCTCGAGGGTCCCGGGGTCCGGGAAGCGCCCTTCCCGGGCGGGCGCCGCGGCCCCACTCACCCGGCTCCCCCGCCGCTGGAGCCGCGTCTGCGAGCTCTGGGGTCGGCTGCTCGCCCTGGTCCTCCTCGGAGTTGATGTGCTGGGGTTTCGCCTGCTTGCGCCTCGACATGGTGCCAGCATCGGGGCGCCGGGAGAGCCGCGGTTATTTGCCCTCTCCACCACAAATTCCTGGAGTTGGGAAATTTACCCCCCTTCGGCCGGAACGCGCATGTCCCAGTAATTATTATTATCAATAATGCATTGCGATTTATCATGAGCCCTGACAGCTGATTGGCCTGGGTCCAAGACCTCAGAGATCATTTAAATAAGCCCTCATTGATCAGGGAGGGGCGAGGCATTCTGGGCTTTGTAGTCCGGCCCTACATGTGACAAAGGCGTGTTCATCAGGGGAGCGCAGCTAATTAGCATCCCGGCTCAGATTGGCTGGGGCGCGGACGGCCTGAGAGGGGACCCATCCTCGCTCCAGCCCTCGAGTCCTAGGGGAGAAAAGAAAACGGGGGAATGAGCACTTGCTGAAAACGGTGGGCGCGCCTGGAAGTACTGTGCCCCCAAAATTACTTTTGTGAGGTTGATATCCGCCAGCTGAGGCGGGAGGTCTTTTCACAGCAGAATGCCTTGGTGCAACTTTACAAAAACAAAAACCCTGATGTGGGACCTGTGTCGCCTTCCATCTTCCTTCGGATGGAAAAGCTTAAACTGGGTCTGAGACCAGTGAAGAATGGTGACCGGGGTTGATTCAACCTTCCACCCTGAGTCCCTTAAAGTGGCCCTTGACTTTTCCAAATTTCACGTTGGGCTTCACCATGATTAACCACGTCTAACTGGGTGGCGATGGTTCCCAGGTCCTGATTCACAAGGACCAGCTTGTTGTTCAATGTGTACTTTTCTGGGTGAAACTTAAAAATGTCTGGCTGCTGAACATTAAAAAGGCAGATTAAAAGCAAGCATAGTCAAAGATAGGATCAGAACCGCGATTGAATTTTTTCCTCCTGAGCCGCGAAGGTCTGATAACATCATATTTTATTACTGAAACAAGGCTTTTTACGTCTCCCTTGGAATAGCAATGAGGACTGTCCGCGTAGCTGAGTGATACTAATTATCATTGGGATTTTCTGCAGCGCAGACTTTATTGCAGATAGGATATATATATAGTTCAGAGTGTATCCTGGCGTAGGGATGCCTTGAATTTCCCAAAAGGGTGTATCACATTTACACCATAGGGACGGGGAGATAGCCCAGTGGAATAAGCGCAAGGGCCTGAGTTCAATCCCTGGTTCCGCCTAAATAAATAAATAAAATATATATATGTATATATATATATATATACATACCATAAATCTATGTAAATCAATCTGACTAACTACCTTACACCGTGGAATGTGCCATAAATGTTAAATGAATGATGAAGTCTTCAACCTTCTTCCGCGATGCCCCTGGAGGAGCTCTTTATTTGACATTTACCTCATTGTAAGAGGCTGTGCAAATATAATGCCTTCCTCCACGTCAATGTGCATCGCATTTTCTTGATTAGTTATTTGCCAAGATCCTGGCTTGTAGGAGTTGCTTGTAATCTCATCAGGAATGCAAGCAGTGTAGACTGCTTGACCCATAAATGTGTTCACCTGGGTGTTTGGACAACCCCGAAAAGGGAAATAAATGAGCTCAACCCTGTTTTTGATATTGGAGGCTATCAAGGTGAACTTATTTTTAAAACGGCTGTTTCAATTTCTGAGCCACTGCTAGAAAAGTTTTACATAGCTTTATGTCCTTCTCTAAAAGGAGTAAGAGCTGCAGGAGGCCACAGCAGAATTCTACAGGTAAGAATTTGTATTAACAAAACACAGAAGGGGTTTAGAATTCTGATACCAAGTAAGATGGCCGATTAACACTTGCCTTACTAATTTACTGACATTCCCAACACCTTTTCTGTGAAGGGTAGCAAGATGGGAGATGTAATTTACCATCCGATTGAATGTCGGTAAAAATATTCGTGGCTGCGGTGGGTGGGTTGTTTAAAGCGCCTCCTTGGGCAAACTCAGTCAGGTACAGAGGACCGTGGTTCCATCCCTAGTACCACAAGCCCTACCAGACTAGCCCATAAGGCAGCCTGAGCTAGCCAAAAACACTTCATGGTTGAAGGAAAACTTCACTTAAAGTACAGTTGTTGGTATGGATTTAGTTTGATAGGTGACAGTTTAAAACAATATTGGCCATTTCTGCATAGAACGGAGTGGTCAAATTGTGGCACTGGAGTTTCCAAATGAAAATGATAACAACTGATTGCGCTCTGGGAAGGTGCCACAGGCTACATGCAAAGCACGTGGCTTCTTTTTTTTATCTTCATAAGGTCAGCTTGGCTGTTTTTATCTATTTTGTTTTTATCTATTTTGAAAATGAGGAAACTTGTTGGGTGTGGTGGCTTACTCCTCTAATCCTGGCATTCCAGTGACTGAGGCAGGAGAACTGCGGGGAGTTAAAGGCCAGCCTGGGTTATGGAGTGAGACCTTGTCTCAAAAGAAGAAAGAAAAAAAAAGAAATAAAAGAGGCTGGGGAGATAGCTTGGTGGTCCAACAGCAGTGCAAGGACTGGGGTTCAGTCCCTGGCACCACATTGTGCCTTGCTGGCCCCGGAACCCCAGGTGCACCCTGCTGGACACTGAGACCAGGCATGCACCAATCCCAGCACTGGGGAGGCTAAAACAGGAGGATTACTGTAAGTCTGAGCTGCAGAGTGAGACCCTGTATCAAAATAAGTAAAGAAGGGGCTGGGGAGATGGCTCAGTGGAATAAGTGCTTCCCTGGCAAGCGCATTGGCCCTGAGTTCAATCCCCGGTTCTGCCAAAAAAAAAAAAAAAAAGTAAATAGATAAATATACATACATTTTTTGTATTTTAGGTAAGGGTCTACAGGGTGTTCAGGGTCTCACTACTAAATCAGATGCATAGTGATCTGCCTTTATACAGCCTCCCAGGAGCTGGGATTACAGGTGCACACCACCACACCCAGTCTCAAATAAATAAACAAATACTAATAGTGTTTAGAGAAGATATCATCTCTGCATCTTGTACTATGAATAACCTCTATGAAGACAACAATACACAATGTATTAATTATTGTAACTGTCCTACTAACCTGTTTTGAAACGGTCTCATTGCTACTTCTTGCTCAATAAAATTAATATAAAAAATAAATGGCTAAAACTTTTTAAAAAGAAAAGAAAAAGGGGAAACTGAGGCTTGACGCCGTGAATGACTTAATTAGGAAGCGGCTGAGCTAGTGGTCAGCTGCCAAGCCAGACTCCAACATCTTTTTCTATCTCATTTCGATAGCTGTGGTTCATGCCTGTAACTGTGGACAAGATGTCTGAACAGCAACAGAAAGTATCACGTGGCGCACATGCGCTGCGTTAACGTGGCCCCGGAAGAATCCAGGCTCTGGGAACGTCATGCCGGCCAATGCTGAGACGCTCCCCTCGGGTGGGACGCTCTGAGACGGTCTGAGCAGGACAAGGACACTGTGCACGGTGTGCAGCCACCTCCAACGCAGAAGCTGCTGTGGCCTAGAGCAGGTGGGAAGGGCGTGGCTTGGGCAGCCACAAGCAAAGCAGGCAGGGAAGGCACCGCACGGAGGACTGTCCTTCCTCTCTAGTTACTGTTTACCTGGGTGGGGCCAGCTTTAGAAAAGATAAAAAATCAGAATAAAAGATGATTAAACTTTTGTTCGTTTGGTTTTTATTTGGGGGGGGGTGTTTTCTTTCTTGCGGTCTCCGGGATCAAACTCAAGACCTTGCGCTTACCAGGCAGGTGCTTATGCTGCTGAGCTATCTGCAGGCTCTATTTTGATTTGTTTTGAGACAGGGTCCCGTTATGTAGCCCAGGATGGACTCAAACTCATGGTGATCCTTCTGCCTCAGCCTCCCAAGTGCTGGGATTACTGGCATCCACCACTATGCCTGGCTTATTTGTTTTTATTAATTATTTTCATAGAGAAGCATTTTGGGGAAATGTGCTTGTTGCTGTTCTTTTCAGCAATCTGTAAACCCAGAAGCTTTACTGTTCTTGAAAAGCCTGAGGATGCGGGACACTGTGGATCCTCGTCGGAGTTCACTTTCTTCCTGTTCCTTGGGTGCAGAAGGTATAGCCACAGCTCCCGTTGGCACCTGGCGCACTAGCAAGTGGGTGCTGAGTTACGGACTCATCTGTCCAGCTCTTGGGCACAGGCCGGGGATGGGGGGTGGGGGGACAGATCTGCTTCCGCAGTCACGTCTCTGATGCCAGAGCCACTCCTTTCCCTGTCACCCTCTCCACTGGTCACTTCTACGAAGCCTCTGTGTCTTGGGTCACATCACACTCCTTAGAGCCAGCCTTCCCTCTTCTAAACTAAGTGTCACTTATTGGTGTCAGAGTTCTAGAAGCTGATGTCCTCATACGGCATTAGGACAGATTCAGCTGTGTCCAGATGGTCCTTGATGTGTGGCGGTTTGACTTATGACTTTGTCCCTCTACACAATGGTGTGAAGCCAGTAGCACTGAGTATAGGCCATCCTTTTTTTTTTTTGTCTTTTTGAGACAGGGTCTCCCTATGCAGTGCAGGCTGACCTTGAGCTCACTTTGTAGCCCAGGTTGGCCTCAAACTCCCAAAGATCCTCCTGCCTCGAGTGCTGGGATTACAGGCATGCACCACCACACCTGGTTTATAGGCCACACTTGGAATTTTAGATTTTGATCTCCTAGGCTAGCCAGGCATGAGACAATACTTTGTTTCTTCTTCTTGAGACAGAGTCTCCCTATTCCAGGTTGGCCCAGAACTCACCAAGATCCTCCTGCCTCGGCCTCCGGAATGCTGGGATTACAGGTATGCACAGCACATGACATGGGGCTCTGACAGTGCTTTATGGAGACAGCAGGGAGCACCAGCCATCGCGGCTCCCCGTGGAGGCCCCAGTCCAGGTACCATCTTTTTTTTTTTTTTTTTTGGTGGAACCGGGGATTGAACTCAGGTCCTTGCGCTTGCCAGGGAAGCGCTTATTCCACTGAGCCACCTCCCTGGCCCCCAGGTACCATCTTGAGAGCCATCAACAGATACTACGTTGCAATATGGGAGCTTGTTT